ATTCGTTTCAAAAATATATCAATAGGAAATATTAGTCGTTATGTTTCAAGCGCTTTAAAACAGGCGCCCATTTTCAAGACTTATCAGACGTGAATGATAAAAAACAAAAGAAAACAGAAGAAGAAGCAGAAGGAGAATGAAACATTTGTTTCACGTCTGGCAAGTCTTGAAAATAGGCGCCTGTTTTTTACAGCTTGAAACATGTCGACTGTTATTTTCTATTTATATATTTCTGATGCGAATGAAGTTCGTAATCACGTAATACATTCATTATTTTAAAATTTGTGAAAGTGTGTAAATGGAACCCCAAATTATGTCAGTTTGGAATTTTATGTATTTAGCTCTTTTGTGCCTAGTGTTCTTCAAAAACTATGGTTCCTTTTACAAAAGGAACAGGGCAATAGTTTAAGTGCTTCATCATTAGGATAACAAATAGTTGCGTTTTATCAAAATAGTTCTGTCTACCACAATATATTAATAGTATAAATGTTTATAGTTAGATCTGAAGTCAAAAATTAGTGCTTTTTTAAAACTGAATTCGTGGATAACAGAAAAAGGCACCCACTTGGTATAAACAAATATATAGTATCCCTTTTTTGATATGTTTTTTTTCCATATCTATACCATTTTTTGCTTTCAGGCGTTAACGGGTCTCAGAAACATTTTCTTGGCACTTTTTCGATTTGTGTTTAATACAATTTATTTGATATCAAGGAAATAACAATACTAAAAAAAATATTTCTGAAACAGCTAACGAAAACATTTATTATTGAGAAAAAAATATGTCTTCTCTGGTTTGCGAACTTTCTGAACTATACAATTTTTAAGAAACAACCTAAAACACTCATAGCACATTTTAATTTAATCGAAAAATACCAAAAATGCTAAAATTATGAAAAAAATTAATCGTAATTTCTGACACTTATTTTTAAAACGTGTTTGTTTTGAGTAAATATTAATTCTTTTTCATGACATATTGTTTTGTTAAATATAGTTTCTAATCAATAAATATCCAATACTTGTGAGTTCGTTTAGAGAAAATACAACTGAGAAAGTTTTGTGTTTTGGCTCGAAGAAAAACTAACATTTGCATTTATTCATCCAAATCAGATAACTAGTTCTTCATCAATAGTAAGATATTATCTTATTATTTAAGATAGAAATTAAATCCAAATTCCAATATAATATACATGTTTTTTTGTTTTAACATATTTTTAGCAAAATTTCGATACCAAAGAAATTTTATTAAAAATAGATTATATTACAAAAAACGATTTATTACATTTAAACATTTTTTCTCAAAGCTAAATATTTTCGTTCTTTCTCTTTGCAATTATAATAAAACTATTTTCACTATATGAAACTCATCATCATCATAGTTAACCAGACAGTCCAATGCTTTCCTATATGAAATTAAAAAATAAATAAAAATGAAGTTTTCAGAGAATACTACATTTAAACTTTTAATTGAAAAACCTACAGCTACTGATGATGGGCGTGTCCAGAGATAATTGATTTGATATAATTAAACAACGTTTACATATGGATAAAGATTTAATATCATTCAAAATGCTATAGAAATATTACATTTTCAATAAATAAAATCAGTTGATTTAAATAATTCTATAATGAACTATATTTATGTACTGATTAATAATTCTTTTTCTTCAAATAAGTAAATTTTTTTAAAGTATGATTGAAAACATGTGACAACCGTTCTTAATACACATGTTATAATAACTTAAATAAGATTTTAAACTTCATAGTAAGTTTAAAACCTTTTATTAGATTGAAGACTCTGCCAATTTTTTAATTCAAAATTTTGATAAGAGTTTTTTTTTATTGTTTTGAGAATATTTCCCAGTACATATTTCAGTTCCATTTTATTTTTTGGTTTTAAATTTTCATTCTACGAAACAATTATATAATTTTAAAACATCAGCTCAAATTTTCTGGAACAGAAAAAAATATTCACGAATTTGTTATCAACGTCAGAAAGTAGAGCATATCTTTCATTTTTATAACGTTTCGAAAATAATAATGAAATCAAACATTAATTTTACTAACTAATACTATTTACAATTTACTGAAAAATTACAATACAGAAATGATGTATGACGCAATAAAAATAAGAAAAAAATTTCTTCTGAAGTTTTTAAACCAGTTATTATAATTCTGCATTACACTGCAAATAATTCTGCGAATTGTAGAAGCAATATGTACAGAAAACTATACTCTCTTTTACTAATTTATTTTGATCTACTGTACAATGAGAGAATATTCAAGAAAAGAAATCTTAAATTGTAAAAACAGTGCATAATTATAAGCGTAATAATAACATATTCAATGTAAAAATATAATAATATGCCATAGATAATTTTTTTAAACTACTCGCGTAAATTAAAGTGATGTACAGAAATAGAAGTCGATAAACACGATTATCGGAAGTGCCTTTGGGATACATAGCACAGTCTGAAAAGTTTCTGAAAGCATTGGTTTTTGATAAACACTGCTCTCCCATAGAAACGACGTTTCAGTCGCAGAAACTTAAATAAATTGCTTAAAAGCATTTTAGAAAAGTAAAAATAAATTAAAACTGACTATAAAGGGGCTTGCAATATTGAGAAAATGCCTAATACTTCCAAAGCTTGCCCTACTTATATTTATTTTTTAATATTTATAAAGAAAAATAGAAAAAATTATTGATACATATATTACGCCAATAATCATAAAAACCATCAACTTTTATTATTACTAACTCTCTTAAAAATTTCGAAAATGAGCAGCTAATTATCAGTACTATATTAAATTAATAACTTTAGAGTATACAATAATAAGTTATTGAAAAATTAATAAATGACTTTTAGATTAATATTGTAAAGCATTTTGCTTAAACAACATTTTCAGGTCTTTATTATGTATTCAAAGTTTAAAGCAGCGTAATTTCCAATAGTCCTTTTCCGTAAGTTCTAGGTAACTTAATAAAAATAAAATTAAGATTGTAATTTTTTTCTTTATTACATTCAACAAAACAATTCCGATGTAAGATTTTTCAGGAAGTAAATTGAAACATTTTTGTAAAATAAATAACTTTATGCAGAACCAACAAATTTTTCTAAAAGAAATTATATCCATTAACTACTTATATAGGGAATAACTTATGTCATAATTACTATGTAATTGTGGATTTTATAAGAAAGCATTTGTTATATTCTCATGAGAATGCTTAACAATTGAACATTTTAAATATTTTAATAGTACAATAGATATGAATAAAATTATTTTGTTTATTAATAAAATATTCTTAATTTATTGTTTATTACATGTTTTTTTGGTGAAAAATGCATCGATTTATTAAGATTATTCTTGATCAAAACAAATTTAATATGAACTATTGTGCTAAAATAATTTTTAACTAAGAATGCAGTTTGTTTAATCAAAAAATTCATTGCCTTATTAGGATTTATTCGAGCTATTGTTGTAAAATAATTTGTTGCACAAAAAGTATCTAGTTGAACAAAATACATTTTTCTTTACCAAAAAATCAACACCTCAATCAAAATAAGTCTAAGCTATATCAGAATTTGTACACATTATTGCTTTAAAGCAATTTGTTACACAAAAAATCTCTCTCAAAGAAGGATATTTTTGGTTAGTTTTTTATTTACTGAAATTGTTTAACTAAATATCTTTAATTATTTTGTAAACTTTTACGATAAATTTCATGCTATTACTTTATTATGTAATAAAGGTGCAACACTTTTAGCTTTAAGCCTTGGATAATATTCAGAATGAAAATATTAATTGAGCAGGATAATGCAATAGATAAATAAAGATTAATAGTAAATACAGTTAAATAATAGATAAATCGTTTTCAAACAAAAACTACCATCAGTTTTATTAATTTTATGCTGCTGACAATCAAAGATATTTGAACCTTCCCTGAATATTAAAGATCATATCATGTGTTTTATGAGAATGCATGAAACAGTTAGACGAAAATTATCTTTCTGTGATATTTAGAGAAATAGTGTAAGCAATGAAGAATATTACTATGTATTATTATTCCTTCTAAAAATTAAGGAAATCAAATGAACAGTAAATACGATTTTTTTAATAAAGTTTCAAAAATAACATTTCTTTCTTATACTTCAGAATTTTCGGTACAACCTATGTCATCAGATTCAATACATACTCACGATTACTTATTTACGTTTAAAAATAAAAGTTTGGCAATGGATGATAGTCTTTGACGCAGCATGAAACGAATGTTTTTCAATATCTTATGAATGCTTACTGGGTTGTAGATTAGGGAAAATGTGTACAATAATAAAATTCAAATTGTTTTTGTGATCGCGATTCTAAACTTGGTATTTTTATGTTTATTTTTTTAATAATTTAAAGCAATGTTTCAAAATAGGGAGTCACTTTGATAAAACTAACGGTAATAAGATTTAAAATACTGACTGCTAAATTTTACAATATTCTCAAGACTTGTTATTATGTACTAAAACAAACAACAAGGTGAATAAAGCACAAATGAAAGCAGGTTTTAGTCCATTTATGTACTTTCATTTGTGCTTTATTCACGTTTTTAGTCTACATAGCACAAAGCATACCTTATCCTTTGTCGGATCATTCTTATATCTTTAAATGTTAACTTATTGTAAGTTTCGCTTCATCAGAATAAACAATATTTAAAAGAGTGCTTAAATAAACATTATTCAATAACATTCCAGTTTCTCCATTGTTAATCCGAAAACAAACTTTTATTTAGACACTAATTTTTGCAGATTTTAATTTTGTAGAGCTTCTTCTAGGGGGATTTGAATAAACATTCGAAGTAATTATGAAAACTCTTTTTTTTGTAAGTTTAGTTCATTCCGCGCGTTATGAAACAACAAAAAGACCGGAGCGAATCCTATTTTTCCCGGGAAAACAATGTGACGTCAGCTCCAACATTGACGTCGCCACGGATTATTTCTAGTGAGTCTGCGCTAAAACCTGAGTCTTTCTGCTGGCTGGTTGAAATAGAAAGCGTGCTATACAGCCATGCATGTGGTATATAAACCGTCCCCCGTTTTCCAATCATTCTGTTTTATCTGAGATTTCATAAGATAGTCCAAAACCATCCAGATTTGAAAAATGATGATTGCTTCTGGCAGAAGCGGTGCTAATAGTCGCGTTTTAGTTCTTTTATACTTGACATGCTTCTTACTGTCCTTGGCTCCTTCTGTAGTTGGGCCACCGGAAAGTAAGTTCACTGCTTTTATTTATTTTGCAATCGAATATCAAAACACAAAAACATATAGAAGATTTTCGGATTTTTTTCTTTTTTAAATTTTAAAACAACTTCCTTTTTAGCAGAATTCAACTTTTTATATTTATTATTTATTTTGTTTGACTTAAGTAAATAAATCAAACGTTAAAACATTGTACTGTTTCTTTAGATGTAAACTAAATAATTATTGCATTAAAAAAAGTTTTTATCACTTTTTGTTAAAAGTTAAAACTTTTTTCATCTGCAGTTCTGAGTTTTTTAATTCTAATATTTTGGCATATAGTTAGCAAACAAAAATTTACTTATGTATTTCTTTATATTTGAATTTTATCTTATTATTCTTCTTTAACTATGTTTATACGATAATTATTTACTCTATTTTATTTTACTTTATCTGCCACGCATGATTAATAATTACATATTTTATTTCACTTCTTCAACAACTACAACACATGAACGTGTATTTTGTAAGGTTTATTTCACAATGATTTATCAATAACTGTAGTTATAATTCCAATACCCATAACTATAATTGCAATAATAATTATTTCAATAATAATTAATATCATAATAGTTTGAAGAGAGAAGCAACCATTGGCTACTGAAAAAAAAGCTTAACACTTAGTTTTGAAATAAGAATTCGTGAAACTTAATTGGAAAAAAAAAAATTTTAATGCTAAAACTGTATTAAAACACTTCGCTATATAAGAATTGGATTTTTGATTATCGCCATTTCTACAGACGGTATCATTTATTAAAACTCAATTACATCAAAACTCATTTATATCATAACAGAATCATATTATAAAAGTTGCTAAAAATTTCTAATTATCCATACTGGGAAATAGATGTGAGTTAAAAGTTTATTACATTTAAATCATTTAACTTAGTTTTTTAAAAATTACTCTCACATTTTATCAGTTTACTACAAAAATATAGTAAGACAAATCATAATTTCAATACTTTTCATTCAATAGAAAAAATTTCGAAGTGATATGTAGCTACATTTGCTTAATTTTAGCATCTTAGATAAATTGGATGCCCAAATAAAATTATAAAATAATGTTACATAAATGTTGAAGAAATAAATATAGATTAGATTTTTGCATCCGTTCATTCACCAAAGAAACTAATAAGCAATAGCCTCCTTCGAGTGGAATAATATGATGCTGAAGAGTAACTTTCTCTACAGTGCCTACTTTTTGTACCCATATTTTTGGAAACTGGAGATGCCCTACTTTTGTATACAGCTCTAAGCCAATACACCACGTAAATGCTATAATGAAACAAATATTTTGATTTAATTATTTTAAAGTTATGTGCACACTGTAAAAAAATCTGCATCAAATTACGGTAAAAGTACCTGCACTCAAGGTGCTGGTACTTTTTAAAATTCACTTTTATCGGAACATGTTACGGTATATTAGATTTTTGTTCCATAGTTTTTATGCAGTAATATTTACCGCAAAATCCCTGAATCACTTTAATTATATAAGTATTACTGTAAAAATTATGGTACTGTATTTTACGGTAAAATTTATTTCACGGATGATGCACCGAAACGTCGGTACTTTACACCGTAATTTGATTCGGAATTCTTTGTTCTGCAATTTTTACAGTGATATTTACCATAAAATCACAGAATCACTTGAATAAAATTATACTGTAAAATCTATGGTGTAATATTTTAGGGTAAAAATGGATTTACGTCAAAATAGATTTTACGGATGTTGCACCCAAAGTGTCGGTACTTTCTACCGTAAGTTGATCCGGAATTTTTTACAGTGTAGAATGTTTCTTAAGAAAATAAATTTGTAAATGTTAGAGAGAAACTTATCTTTTTTGGCAAAGTTATCCGGAGTGGAAACGAGGTGAAATGATTTAGGGAGCAAAAATATCTTTCGTTTCTTTGCTTGAAAATGGATATGTAGGGCTTCTTTTTGATCAATATAAGTCCATTTTTGATTTTATACTCTTTAATTATTGTTAACATGCATAAAAATTTCAATTAAAGTTTCTTCTCATTTCGTAAACTTGCTTACAAAATTTTTGATAGAGATTTGGAGCAGAGCAAAACGTATCATTTCTGCATGCCTATATAAATCTGCTTGAATTTTTTTTTAAAATCTGGTCATTCATTCGAGATAATCCTGTATAAGGTAAGTCAAAGTTAGATGGCCGTCTCCGATATTTTTTAATATATTGCGTCAGAAGCAATTTTGCAGGGAGCAGATTTACTTGTTATCAATTTTTATAAAACATTGATTCTCGTGACAGCAAAAAGAACGTAAAATTTTAATATTTATTTTATTTAGAGGTCAAGTATTCTGTTCTTTTAAAAAGCACAGATTATAATTTTTTTTTCTTCTAGCTGAACTTTTAAAACACATAAATAGTCCAATCTTCGTTCCTGAGTAAAAATTAGAGGAATATACTACGGTGGAGTGATGCTCTAATTTTGCTATTTCAGCACCAACTTGAGAAAAGATGGCCACTTTTCATTAATATGTATTGACAAATCAAAGTTCATAGTTTCCTTAAAAATTAAAAGTAAAATCAAGAAAATATTATGTATTTAATAAATGAGTCTTCACCAACACGCTTAAAACCTCCAAATTGTAGTTACGAAATCTTGGGGTCTATTAATGGTTTTTGTTTGATTTGGATTCTTTTCGTGATTTTAAGATTAAAGCTAATAAAAAGATATCCTTAGCCTTTTATTACAACATTGAAACCAATTTTTAAACTTTTGAGGACAGTACAGACCTCGTATATTCCATTCCCATTCCACTACGTATCTAACATATTGTCCGATAGAACCCTACATATTATCCGATTCTACACACTCAAAATTTTATGAATATCAATGTGTGAGCTGTGGAGAATCAACTTACGCATGTCATCCAGTCATCAATACAATACGATTGATGACTGGATGTGATGTGTGAGGTGCATACAATTGCTACATGAAACATGTATAAACTTTGAAAACTTTTACCAAAAATGTAGTGAAGTTTTTCGAAAGTGATGGATAAAAGTAGAAGTTATAAACTGTACATTAGAGTTTTTATTAGAATGTTTTTACATTCCCATTCTACATAACTAACATATTGTTCGATAGAACCCTACATATTATCCGATTCTACACACTCAAACTTTTATGAATATCAATGTGTGAGCTGTGGAGAAGCAACTTACGCATGTCATCCAGTCATCAATACAATACGATTAATGACTGGATGTGATGTGTGAGGTGCATACAATTGCTACATGAAACATGTATAAACTTTGAAAACTTTTGCCAAAAATGTAGTGAAGTTTTTCGAAGGTGATGGATAAAAATAGAAGTTATAAACTGTACACTAGAGTTTTTATTAGAATGTTTTTACTTATTTTCCAAGTTAAAATGCATTCCTTACATCTTATTGTAAGTTATTTGATCTTACCTCGACATCAAGGTGAGATGGCCTTTTATTAGTTTAATTTAAAAAAATTTTATGAAACATTAAAATGAAAATAGGAGATTTTGACATTTTAAGTAGTATAAAATAAATATTTGCACTTCTTAAAATGTTTGAATAATTAAAAACGTAACAAATATTCATGTTGTATTTTTACATCAATTTAGAGCATGTGATGAATTGCATGCTTTAAGAAAATGGTTGTTTACGATTCAATTTAAGATTAGATTGTGATTCTGTTTTAGAATCTTGAATTTATAAAACAAAATAATGTAAATACATGACAACTACGCTAAACACATTAGTTGCCACTGTTAAATTTTAAACTCATTATTTAATATAAAATTAACAAGATTCAAAATGCGTAATTCTGTTTCATATTGCATAGTAAAAAGTAAACTGATGTTAAAATGAAACACAAATTCAAAAATTCACTATTATCTTCTAATATTTTAGCTTGAACCAAAATATGAATATGCTGCAACACATGTTTTGGTTTTGTCGTCTTATGATTAAAAAATTTTGAATGTTTTGAAAATAAAACTTTTGAAAATAAAACAAACTAAAATTGCATAGTGTTAATAATCAACTTCAACAAATGGAGCTAATGTCAGACATTATTATTTTTAAATTAATTCTAAGTACTCAAAATTGAGAAGACTCAAATACATCTTTCTTTAGCTGCAAAAATTATCATTTTTTTTAAAATTAATTTCGAAAAAATGCTTCATGAGTATACCAAAGCAATCAAGAAAATTCGCAATGGCGAATACATATCCGAATGTATAAAATTCAAATTTATGATTAAAGTAATGAAAGCGTAAAAATACTTCAATTTACGTCATATAACAATAAAAAGTGCATATTAAAGTGTATAAAATTTTATAATTAGTTTTACAAACTTTTCACCTTATTTATTTTTATTATTCTTTAATCAGTTTAAATACGTAAAAACTTCCGATTCGTAAGTCAAAAAGTAATATAACAATGTATATTAAAATATAAAAACTAACATAATTAGTTTTATGAATTTTTCAAGTTGTTTCTCTTTATTAATTTTTTTGGATAGTTGATGATATCTCGTTTTTATGTCTGTGAACAACACAAAATATATTTAAGAAAAAAAACTTCATGTCCTCAAAACTTCACTGAATGACATTTTTTATTTAAGTTTACGTGACTTTTAAAATGAAACTCTGTGCATAATAATCCAAAGAAACATAAAAAGAACGTTGATTTCTGCGAAATTTTATCTAAACAAAAGGCAAAATTTTAAAGATAACATTTCTTTGTACTCAAGAAAAGACACGAACTCTTTTTTTTTATAAAAGATGCTTGAAATTCATCTTAAATCTATCTTTCGGTGGGAGGTATGGAGATTTAAAATTTCGGGAAATGAAATAAATATTTCTAGAGAGAATTGTTGTTTTAACAAATTTAATTCAAATATAGGAAACGCAGACAGTTTACCTTCTTGAAATGAATTTTGTATATTTTAAAACGAATAACTCT